TGCATGTACAGTATCTTGGTCAAATTCATATTAATCTTTTCTGTGATCTGGTGGTTCTGGGGCTGAAAGATCTTGGGAACCACTGTACCAGTTAAATACTTGCTCTGGTGCCCACGTTTCACCCTGACCTCTTCTTTTTTTTTTCCCTCTTAGTTTTATTGTTTGTGGTTTAATTCTAATAAATGACTAAGAGGAAGATGCATTCCTGGAACAGAAAGAGATTGAAGGCAGCGATTGTTTGTTAGTTCGGTAAATGGGGTCTACAGAACTGACCCCGGCATCGACGATGTCCGAGCCCTCTTCATGTCCTGGATTTCACATTCTAATAATGACTAATGTGTTTGCCGATGTCAGCCTGCTCTCATTAGAGTGATTTATAGCCCTGGCAGTTTTCAGTAAACCAGAGGAGCCGTATTCCAATTTATTCAGGTCAAATTAACCATTCATAATTAGACACCATAACCTTTCCCGCTTTCCTTTCCTAGTCTGAATGCGCTTTACATGAAATGCAAATGTTCATTGTTTAATCTCCCTGCTTGTCATTAGGGAGGCTATGTAAGAATCGCCCCATGCAGGGCAAAAGTTTAGCCTGAATCAATCTCCTAATGCTTAATAGCTAATGGGCTGATTTATTGCCATGTAATGAAGGTGAAGGCCTTCTTTTCTCTAATGGTGGCATTGACCCTATGGAGCCCCTCAGCCATTATTCCAATGTCAAAACTGTGTAGCTTATATTATTGCTGCAATGACTCATTTTAATATAAAGTATATCACCTATAAACTTACTAATCTCCAATTACTCTACTTGGCTGTAGGAATTATTTGAAAGATTTTACAAGTACAGAATTGGCAAGTATTCTGAAATCTGTTACATTATATTGATTTTTTTTATTATATAATGAGACCTGAAACACACACACAGAAACATTTTGTATTAAGGTTGGGTGATTTTTTTTTTTTTTTTTTTTTTTTTTTTTTTCCCCCCCCCCCCCCCCCCTCAAAAAAATTTCCAACCAACCATAATCCGTCCAACCACCAGTAACTGGTGATACATCCATGGAGATGTATGTATATCTGTGTCACAAGATTATGTTAAAGGCACATAAGTCATCAGGAGGGAGAACAACAGTGCTTATATTTTATCTCACTACATACATATTTGTCAGCCACAACATTAAAACCTCTGACAGGTGAAGTGAATAACATTGATCATGCAATAGCCTCCTGTGAGTCTTTGGGCTGTGATATGTCATGCATTTTGAGGTTACCTAGGCATGTACAACCTAGCTAAAGGCTATTGTACACTCCTCAGTGTCATTGGCTTCCCCCAGCAGGACATTATGTTCTGCCACAAAACAAACTGCCCGGGAACAGCTGAAGAAACATGACAATGAGCCCAAGGCACTGACCCAACCTCCAGCCTCCCGCCTCCCCAGATCCCAATCCAATCTAGAATTGGCAGCATTCAGTGGACCTAGCCTGTTCCATAGAGGCTGCAGCCCACAGCCCACATGTCCCACAGGAGCTACTGCCAGCATTTTGGTTACAAACACCACAGGATATCCCCAAAGGTCCTGTTGTAATGCCCCAGACAGGTCAGAGGCATTTTGGTGGCGTATAAGGAAACAACCCAATGTTAGGCAAGTGCTTTCAGAACTTTTCCAACTATCAGAACTTATGCCAGTTTTAATTGGATTGAGAAGTGGGGCACGTCAGGGAGAGACAGAAAGTTGGATTTCATTATCACTTTGCTAAATAAATTATTTCCTGGCTTTAAAGTATTTTTTTCAATATTTCAAATTGGATAGGGCTAATTAGAGCCAGACCACTTGAGGCGGGCTGCATCTCAATTGAGGCCTTCAGGATTACGTAGCGGAGACCTCTGTGACAGTTTGATAGACAGCACCTCTCACTCTGGTCTTGATTACTGCTGTTGTCTAATTCGCTTTGCTTTGCTTTAATAATGTCTGATTGGGGAGTGTTTGGACCAGGTCCTGTCTTTTTGGACTAGCTGGGAAATGATGGTGAATTTTGGTGTTAGGCTTCAAGTGATGAGCTGTCATCTTCTTAGCCTCAGTTTCATTAAAAAGTTAATGAAAGTTAAAAAAAAAAAAAGGAAGGGAAAGTGTGAGGATGGAGACAAATCGGAGGACCAGCTGGCGTCTGGTTTGTTGGTTTTGGCCAGTTCTCCCATTTTCAGTGCCTCTGATGTCTGTTGGGATTAGGAGTACCTCTCCAAGAGGCAATGGCTGCCAAGCAGCATCAGAACAGAGACGAGCGGAATGAGGGATGAAGGTTGGGAAGTGAAGCAACAAAGGTAGAACAAAAAGTGAAAGAATTACAGCTGGAAAGAAACAACTGAGTGCAGAGATAAAGACACTGTCAGTCATTTGAGCAGCTGCAGATTACAGTTTGAAGGTGTAAAAGGACTGCCGCCTTTCCTCCTTCTACCCTTCTGATATTCAAAATCCAATTAGTGGACGTGTTAGAGGGAGCTTCTTTGTGACAGTGGGCCATTTGTAAGGAGGAACACTGACAGAGGTAATATTTTAATGTAAAGCGTATCTTCCTTTATTATGTATATAATGTTCTCTTTTTGTAGTCCTGAGAAATGTTCTTGTTCACATTTTTGATGTTGATGCAGAGAAGAGGTGCAAAAGAGAAGAAAAAATGGTACAATGAGGCACATTTATTTGTCTGAGTCACACTGGACCTCATTTGTGTATTACTATGAATGATTTAGACTTCTTTAAATAGAGGCGATATAGTGATGGGCTTGTGATGTGCCTGCAAAAATTTTGCTTGAAGCCTCAATGGTGTCCCTTCTATGTTAGTTAGTTCTGTGTTAGCTTTTTGGGGAGCTGGAAGCTATCATGTTTGGACAAGAGGGTGAAGTACCAAAATGATGAGCTTGGATAGGTATTTGCACATGAAACTTGTATGAACAATTCACAGAAACACATGTTTTACTCTGTTAATTGGTGTTGAGAAACTATTAGTGCTAATAAAATGGTAGACTCTAACTTAACAGAATGGAAACACAACCCATCTTTGCTGTGTTTGATACTTCTGTGCAGGCTTCTTTTTTTTAGCCCCAGAGATTGCAGCATGGATATTGTTCAATGAAAGCAGAGTTTGTTGGGTTTGCAAGGTCTTAACTTTATAATGTAATGTGTCCTAATATATTGTGAGTTAGCACTAAATAAATACATTTTTAATTGAGTTGGTCAGTACCTTAGAATGGTGAAGGCACACTTTGATCATGACGTCTTCTTCTTCTTCAAAAAACCCAAGCCTCTGCAAATGATTTTTGACCTCAAACCATGTGCTCAAAGAGACTTGATGTGACATTTGTTGCGTTTTTGTTTTCTGGCGCTGTAGTTTGACTGTTTGGTGAGCTGGAACATGATCCTCTGCAGAGTCACTGTAGACGTCAGATTTGGAGGCAATTAAATCATTTGTCTAACAGTAGACAGATGGATTAAAAGACAGTGCTGAGTCATGTCTGTCTGTTGGAGACTATTTAGGAAGCACAATTTGTGTGGTTTGCTTTTCCAGTGCATCTGTTTTGTCTTTGCTCACAGTGGATAACATTATAACTGCGACCATTCACGTCCAGTTGGTTTGTAACATATAGCGTCTTATCAAGATGTTCCCCTTTTGAGGTGGTGTTAAGTGCAAATGATTTTTTTGGTGGTTACTGAATATTTAAACAGA